TCAAAATAACCAGAGCAAAGTGGACTGGAAGTGTGGCTCAAGTGAAAGAGTGCCTGATTTACAAGCATGAAGCCCTGAGTTCAAACTCCAGTCCCTCCCCCCACATTCTGTGAAATTGTTAATGGGTTTCACACAGAGATGGTATGCTTTTCATCGGGACTCAGATTGCCTGGATTTGACACTGGCTCTGCCTCTTGTTAGCTGTGTGACCTTGGGCGCATTGCTTGGCCTCTCCATGTTTTGCTTTCTACATCTGCTCTTCTTGTAGAATTGTTGGGAGGATAAACAAGTTCTTATATGTAAAATAGTTAAAAGAGAAGCTGGCACACAGGTGATGCTCAAAATGTTAGCTGTTTCAGTGCTGGCTTAACCTAATGAGGGTCTCTTTGCTTTTCTGTGCTAAAAAGTTCAGCAATTAACATCTGAAATCTATCTACAAATACCACTTTTCTTCAGTGAATTATACTTTTAGTTGAGGATATTTTTCTTCTTACTCAAGACCTTTTTTGTGTGTATTTGTGTTAAATAACTTTGGAAACATCAAAGAATTCCAGTTCTTTGATCAGAAGTTCACATGGTCGTTTCTAGAATTTCCTCAGAAAACCATTGCTTTGTCAGAAACAACACAGGTGATGACGACTGTTTACATACTGTTGGCTTTTATAGGTCCTGAGGGAATGCCTCTATCTTTTACCAGGGTTACAAGATTAGAGATGCATTTGAGGTACTGTGAGTTTCATTGTCAATTTTGGTTACAAGGATTCGCCTCCCCCCCTCCCCCCGTTTTGGTAACTTTAAATTGGGAAAACAGAATCCTTACGTAGTATTGAAATACTGATGTTTCGTAATGTTTTCAAGACAGTTACCTTTACGTTTTAAAGTGTTTACATTTTTTGTTAAATATCACATTTTGATAGGAAGGGCAAGAAAGAGATTAAACAAAGAATGAGGCAGGTCACGATTCTGATTTTACCCTCTTCTCTGTATCCTATGGGGCCCCTTCTATGTCTAACTGACCACTTTCTATGATGCTGCATGCCACTGATTTCTAGGTCTTTAAAATAGTTTGGGTGTCTAATAATTTTTAGTGTTATCACTTTGATGAAGCCTTTTCTAAATAAACTACTAATGAAAGGAGATGAACTATTTTGTTGCTTATTTTTGTCTTTTGAGATGGTCTCACTATGTAGCCCAGGCTGACTTGGAGCTCACCATCCTCCTGCCTCAGCCTCACCAGCACTGGGATTACCACGCCTGATGAGATGCAGTATTTTTATAATTTCATGGCATTAGATATTAGTCAACTATTATTTGTGTGCTGTGCTGTGATTATTCATGCAAGCACCTTTCAGGGGTATGTAAGGACTGCTTGTGGAAGTGCTGAATAATTCTTTGTTTGTGAAATGTGAATCGATCCTTAATATTAAAAATCGAGTTTCATTAGCTCTTTGCAAGTACAAAATGACTGTAAGCTTGTCCCTAAATTTGCAAAAGTCAAATATTTGTTTAAGAGAAACATTGCTTTTAAAAGATTCTTATATTTGGATACAGAGCTGAATGTTGCAAGGATCATATATGGAGCGATTATATTTTTAATTTTACTTTTCGGCCCAAGGGCTTTGGCTAAGCGTTCAGGTTTGGGGTTGAACTCTGACTCTGCCATTACTAATTTTCTAACCTACAGCAAGTCTCTGACTGTTTTTAAGCCACCATTCTCTTTAAAATGAGATAAAAATACTTTTCAGTCTTGGTGAGGATCAGGCAGCATTTGGAAAGCATTGTGCACACCCCCAAGTAAGTGCTCCATGCTTTACTGTGGTGCCTGTCACTCTCGTGGCTATTGTCACTAAAACAAACAAAAAACCCACCTGCTATTGCATTATGTTGGTAAGCCACTGTGTATTTAAATGGTGCCTCTCACATTGCCTAGTGTTTTTTAGGGCAAATGTTTCTATTACTCGATGAAGTTTTTTTACAATAGGATTTATTAGACTTCTCAGAGGCTGTATCACCTCTCATATGTTTGTTTCTGTGACATAATTGTGTAAATCGCTCCCAAAACCCAACATTGAAAGAGGCTCTTTGGCAACAAGCCTTCTGTAAGCCGGGAGGCTCTAGAGCATTAATTGTTTGCTTACTCTTTGAGCAGTCAAACTCTTAACCCCATGGCTGACAGATCTCTGGACAGCAACCTCTTCTTAGCCCTCTTTATCATCTCCTGACCAAACTCCAATTGCTCGCTTTCTTAGGAACCCCAAATTCCTTCTTCCAAAAATGCAGTGACTTCCCTAAGCTGTCAATATCTGGACCAATTATTTTCAAATCAATTTTTTAAAAGCACCCCCTCCCCAGCCATGAACACTGATGAGATAAATTGCGAGGTATTTCCAACAACATACCTTCATGTTGCACTGTTTAAAGATATTTTTGGAATATTCTTCTTATAATTTTTTAAAGCATGTGGGCAGACAGAAGTCTATTTGGTGGGTTCATAAGTCCCTGTCTTGTTTTAATAATGATTTGGGCTTGCCATCAGATACTATTGGGCAACTGCATTCACCCTTTGCGGCACCAATATGGACTGTCTATGAGGGATGTTGCATTTACTTCTCCATCCTTTTGTTCAAGCCTCAGCTTGCTCCTGGGGTTTATCTGAACTTGCTGATAACAGCTGTTACTATGGTTGCATGTTATTTCATTTGTTGAACTGATGCCTGATAAGAGAGATGTCATTGAATTGTCTGCAATTCTGAATTTAAATAGAAGAGATTTATTCTCCCCCGCCCCCCCCCCAACGGAGGTAAAATTAGGAAACTGAAGTTAAAAATGTAAGCCCTGTATTCCTAAATCTGGGTTGTGCCATGCTTGTGTGGGCAATGCTGTGGACACTGTGTGTGGGTGTGGACCTTGGGACCATTATTCTGCCACCATCCAGAAGCCTTGGAGCTGCCTCTGGGGACCGGGATGGGAAGATGCATTAATTCAAATAATGAAATGTCACATCCACCTCTCTGATAAATGGGTTTCCTCTTTTAAGATCACCGCCAGATGGTGACCGAAGCCTTGGCTCATTATGGTTTTTCATGGGGGCCTCATATTTCATGTTCCACAGATTCATATTAACCCGCAAGATTCAAGTGCATCTTCAAGTCACAAGTAAAGGAAAACTATTTGTTGAAATGTAATTTCTCCCTGTAGCAAATGTTAGGAGATGCAGTCAATGAGAATGGGGCTGGTAGGGTGTCTCAAATGGTAGAATGGCTGCCTAGCAAGAGGGAGGTCCTGAGTTCAATTTCCAATACCACCAGAAAAACAGATGAGGACAACCATGAGGCCCCAAGGAAGACTCTGCAGTGTAATATTGCAAACACACATGGCTGGTGACTGTGGACACTTATTTGTGCTTTAGTTTCTTCAGTCATAAAGTGAGACTATCAATGGTAACTTATCTCATTTGATTTTTGTAAGAGTTCATTGAATTAATATATATACATTTTTGTTGGTGATGGTGTTTTGCAGTGCTGGAGATGGAACCCATGCGAGGCAAGTGCTTTATGTCTGAGCTATAGCCCCCCCTCCCATCCCAAATTAATATAGGAAAACACAGAGTGACTTAAATGTAGTGAACAAGATGTGTTAGCTATTTTTATAGGAGTCTTTTATTTTTGCAGAAGTGGGGTCTAAAAGTCACAGAATTCCTATTTTTGAAAGACAACATAGATACTGTTTTATTTATCCATGAAGCAAACAGATTCTTGGCATTTTTGTGATTTTGTTTGGTCCCATAAAGCAAATTACCTTACAGTAATTGGAACTAAGCAAATTCAATTTATCTTAAGAGCCCCAGAGTTGTATTCTCAGAGGCAACTCTTGCTAAATCCTGTAAGAGTGGTTTTATTTTATATTTTGCAGTGCTGAGGATGAAATCTAGAGCCTCACATATGCTGGGCAAGTGTCCCACCATTGAACTACACTGCCAACCCAAGAGTAGTTTTAACGATGCAGAATTTTAAGAGCCCTAAGACCAAATACTACATCTAGGATATGTTAGTAACAAAGACTACACACACACAGTAGATGATAAGCCCTTTACTTTGTGAAACTTACTTGACTCTAAAATGAGTACAGTTTCTTGAATGTAAATTTACCTCAATAAAGCTGTTATTTATTGTTGTTGTTTGGTTGGTTTTTGAGATAGGGTCTCACTGTGTAGCTCAGGCTGGACTGAAACTTACTATGTAGCCCAGACTGGTCTCAAACTGGAGATCCTTCTGCCTCAGCCTCCTCGGTGCTGAGATTACAGGCCTGTACCACTACCCTTGGCCTTGGTTGTGAGTTTTTTTGTTAATAAAGCTAAATTCATTGTGGTGCGAATGTTATAGGTATTCAGTAAGTATTTTATGCTAATGAATAATTAAATGAGTAGAATCATTTCATTCTTCAGCAGTGGGGCACATCAGGGAATTAGGAGGCATAAGAGGTCAATTTTTATGTCCTGGGTTTTAAAACTTTATGGCCACTTCCAAAAGTCCAATGTTAACAGTAAATCCCTGGTCCCCACACATGCTTTGAAGGCCCCAAGTTTAGTGGTTTTTCAGAGTAACCCTGGGGGGCAGGAATGAAGTCAGTGGCTAGCCTCGGACCTGTGTCAGCAGCACCACATACACTTCTCTTGATTGTGGCCTTGTGTTTTCACTTATGTTGTCAGACCTATAATTTTGTTGTTAAAATAGACATTTTGATATAGTGGCTGAGGATGTTTTTAAGACTTGAGGAATTGGCCCCAAACTGAAATCCCCTTTGTTCTTTCTAGAAATATCAGTTGGTTTCCCAGACTTGGACTCTGGGCTTCTGCTGAGACACCTTACCCACCTGTCAGATGAGTGGAGCACTGGGCCATGTGTGAGCTAACAAGAACGTTCTCATTGGCCATTAGCGTGAGGGGGTGTCTGCAGTGCCTGTCACGCATTTGATTCTGATGGCTTGTTATATGTCCCCAGGTATGGCAGCAGCTAAACTTCTGCATGACTCTGGCCTGAATGTGGTGGTTCTAGAAGCCCGGGACCGCGTGGGAGGCCGGACTTACACCCTTAGGGTAAGACACTGAGTTTGGGGAGGGAAAAAGTGGGACTGATGCTGAGTTTTGTTTTCCCTAAAAGTCTTTAATTTCATTAGACTCCTCAGAGAGGATGAAAATTACTCTGAAATTAAAATCGTAAATTAAATCTAAAATTAAATATTAAATATAAAAATCGGAAATCTTTCCTCTATTTCTCTCTTTCTGGAATATTTTTTATTTTTGGTGCTGAAGATGGAGCTCAGGGCTTTGCACGTGCTAAGCACCTGCTCTGCTAGTCAGCTATGTCCCTAGCCACAGCCTTTCATGTAATTTGCCTCCCTTTCAACTCTTTCTCTCTCTCTTTTTTGTCTTCTCACTTCATCTTTATTTGGTACCATAGAGTTAGGACCATGGAGAAGGAAATGGGCAGTGTGTGTGTGAGTGTGTGAAGTAGGAAGAAAAATATCACAAGTCTATGTATTTTCCACCTTTGACTTTGAGATTTCTCTAGCACCAACCCAATCATTTCAACCACAGAAGCTAAGCTTTGTTTCTGGGGGTGGTGTGGAGTCTTGATTTCATTTATTTATTTTTAATTTATAGTTGACAAATCATAATTATGTTACATTTATGGAGTACAATGTAATATGTATATAATGTGGGATGATTAAACCAAGCTAATGAACTTGGCTGTCACCTCTCTGGACATTTTTTGAGATAGCACACTTGAAGTTTAGTTAATTCTTTTGAAATGTACAGCACACTATTATTGATCTAGTCACCCTGCTGTGCAATAGACCTCTAGACTTATTCCTCCTGTGTAGCTGAAACTTTGTATACTTTGACTAACAACTCTCCATCCCCTCAAATCCCTGCTCTCCTCACCCCTTCAGCCTCTGGTAACCATCATTCTACTGTCTACTTTTATGAGTTCCACATTTTTTAGATTCCACAAATAAGTCAGATCAGAGAGTATTTGTCTTTCTGTGTCTGTGTCTGATGTATTTCACTTAGCATGATATCCTCCAGGTACATCCATTGTCCCAAATGACAGAATGTCCTTCTTTTTAATGGGTGGATTGTATTCCACTGTGTATATATTCCACATTTTCTTTGTCCACACAAAATTGGGTTCTTTTTAAGGAAGTTGACTGGGGAGCAAGACAATAAGGAAGCAAATAAACAAAAACAAAAGAGGAAAGCCATTTCTGTGTCCCTACTAATAGGCACATGGTTCTGCCTGGGCATGGTCAGAGATCAGGAACTTTTCTACTCATTTCTTGTTCAAAGGTTGCCTCTTTTGAACCATATAGAAAATAAACATAGAAGCAATTTCAAAGGTTCAATTTATGACCAAACAGCCCCTAGTGCTAGCATTCAAATGTCTCAACAAAGTACATAAGAGGTGGTCTTTTCCTGTCATGCTTTTCTCTAGAATTGGGTCCTTCAAAAGTACTAAGGTCCCTGGAGTATTAAGTAAGGAGATTTATCAACAATTCCCAGTTTGTAAATTCAAGGCACTAAAAAACAAACGATTTTTGTGGTATATTGTGAATAATGGAGTTTGGAAGTCTCTTACCTATTCACTGTTCAATTTTACCTTAAGTTAAAGACTGATTTAATAACATGAAGTCATGTGATTAAGAACACACAGTAGAGTTGAGAAAAGAATCCACGTTTCCATGGATACACCTCAAAATGTATCTATAATATGTGAAATGTCAATTTGCTTATTTGGGGATTTAAAAATTTTAGGAATGATTTCAGAAATAATTATTTTTCTTTTTTCCCCCTGGGTCAACAGAACCAAAAGGTTAAATATGTGGACCTTGGAGGATCTTATGTTGGGCCAACCCAGAATCGTATCTTAAGATTGGCCAAGGAGCTGGGATTGGAGACGTACAAAGTGAATGAGGTTGAGCGTCTGATCCACCACGTAAAGGTAAGCGTTGGCCAGACACTGAAGGGTTCCAGCCACTCAGAGAATTTATTCATTATCGTCAAAGGAGAATTAGATGTTACTTCCAGACCTACACAGGAAGGTTATCGATGAAGTGGTATTGTTCATTTAGTAAAATGTTTAGCCAATTCAAAACAGAAAAACATCTGTCATTTATTTATTAAACATCTCTATTTAAACACCAGTGGCACCTTCATGTTCTATAAAAATCTGTGTACAGTTTTATAAATGCTGCCCTAGACTTTATATTGTAAAAACTATGTGTAATATGACTTGTGGAATATTTTAAAATGTTATCATCATATCGTCTTTGTGAGTTAGTTATTCTTCTCTGTACATTGAGGTAAACGTGGCTCAAGTCTCAAATCTCATCTTTTGAAGATTTGGTTTCTGAGAATGTACTGAGGCTCTCATTCCCATTTCACTTGTGACACAGGGTTCCTGCCTCCATGACACATATGTTCATTCATAGTTCAAGGCTTGTGACTCTTTTTTTCCCTTTTCTCTCTGCCAATCTGGGTTCAAACTTCTTTCATCTTGATTTTCCTCAGACCTCCCAAGGTTTGTGCAACAGAAGGCTTTTGAACTGCAGAAACACTAGCAGCTTGGAACTGAATGTTGGACATCCTAATGACCCCTTAGACCAAAGCAGTCTGGTCATATTTCTCCGTGACTTCCAGTCTTCCATCATGTTGCTGGTCCTCACATCTCTTGCATCTCCCTGTTCCTCAGTTTCCTTAGAATCCTCACTTTGGTCTAAAAAGTCACTGATGTTCTCTGACAATTGGAGAGTCACCTATTCCAGACTTCACCAGAGTCCCACAGAAAAACTGGCAGATGTGTTTGTGTGTGTGTGTGTGTGTGTGTGTGTGTGTGTGTGTGTGTGTGTGTGTTGTGTGGTTTGTTTGTTTGTTTGTTTATTTGAGCTTTCTCTCTCTGTAACCCAGGCTGGCCTGGAACTCCCTATGCAATCCAGACTGGCCTTGAACTTGTGATTCTCCTGCCTTAGCCTCCCAAGTGCTGAGATTGCAGGTGTGCACCACCATGCCCAGCTCTGGGAGAGGTTTTGAAAATGTATTTCTCTCTTTCCTCTCTTTTCCTCACTTTCCCCCATAGGTGGAAGTAAGCAGTATAGAGACATCTTCCTCACAGGTTGATGTCCCCTTAGAAGCAGGAGAGGAGCTGGGAGTATAGCTGAGTGGTAGAGTGAGTGCTTAGTGTATAAGGCTCTGAGTTCAGACCTCATCACCACCAAACAATAAAACAAAAAAGAGAAAAACTAGCAAAAGTCAGTTTGATTTACATTACAATTTTAATACCCTTCCATTTGTGAGTGATACATACTATCAAGAAGCACAAATAAGTGACTACACAATTATGAATCAGTTACTAAAACAGGAATTAAGCAGCTACTTAATTTGATATAATGTAGGTAAAAGGTTTCCCACAGTTATAAATAAATGTTTTGGCTGACCTTCAGATTTTGTTTTATGAGCCTTTTCTTGCTTCTAGACAAAAAAAGAAACACATGAATTTGAAGCGAGAATACAACATGGTGAGTGTAATTTGTTGAACAATCAGTAGTTCTTAGTAAATATCCTTTGTTGGGTTCTTTGCTTTTTTAAAATGTAGGGCATGTTGACTGATTTTTCAAATGTCCTCCTTCTTCTACCCATTGCTGAAATTGACTTCTGAGTGCCAGGATTTCTTGGATTTCCCCAAACAAAGGAGGTGACCACAGCTTATACTTGCTTTCCTGTCTTTGATGTGTAGTGATTTTTTTTGTCAGTTCAGAGCTATGTCTAGGAGACTATTTTGTTCTGTTACTCTTAGTGCTGCCATTAAATCCCTTGTTTGAGAGACATTACTCACAGTTAGCAATTGTGGAAATGCTGCTCCACAGTGGTGGTAGAGTGTGCGCTGTCTTGGACTATTTCCAATAATTGATGAGCAGTTGGAAAATATAAGTATTTAAGCAGGGTATATTCCAACTGTGCTCTTTCAAAATTTAAAATGAATGTTAGTTACTGCTTTTGAATTTTTACAAAAGTAAAGCATGTCTATTGTAAAAAATATAATTACAGAGTATGGGTAAAGGAAAATAGTTAAGACAAAACCCTTTATAATCTTATCTTGAGAAAAATCACTGTCAATTATTGTCTTGGTTCCTGGATTTTCATATTCCAGGGTTGATATTGTCTGACCTCTGCTGGAGGAAGTAAGAAATATCGGTGTATTTCAAAATACCACTGCATGGATTCATATGTATATATGTTTGATGTGCTAACTTACTCTCTAGTTACTTCTTACTAATGAGAGAAATTGAAACATACTGACTCTCTGAAACAAAGATTTTTGCAATGTTGACAAAGGTGCCATTTTGACCACCCTGTGGTTCTATCTATAAAGAGCTGCATGATAATAAAAAATGATAAATACCTTCTAGCTAAGAAGTCCTCCCCAAACTGAGTACTTTGGCCACATGTTGTTTTTCTTATTTTAACCTATAAAAAGCATCTCAGGTGGCTATGTGTATTTCTGGAGTTATTTACAAGAACTGGCATTCTATCTCCTAGTATATGTCACAGTACACAGTTCAGAAATGTCTCCTCTGTCAGGGATGGTGATGCCTTGAGCATTTGAACATTGCCCTCTATTACATATTTTAATAACTACTGTCTTCAAGTGCAAGCTACAGTTTATGTAAAATGAATAGTTTATCCACACCTTCTTCCGTGCACCTGCATGTATTTCTTTTTTTTTTTTGGTGGTAAGGGGTTTGAACTCAGGACCTCATGCTTTCTAGGCAGGTGCTCTACCACATGAGCCCTGCATGTATTTCTTAATCTCAGTCCTTAGAGTATCAAGTTTGCTGCTTGCCATATTGTCAGATCCTCTGTTCAAATCAACCTTTTGAAAGGATCCATTTTTTTAAATTGTTTCCATGATTGTTAGTCAGAGATAGAGTTTCATTTGCAGCCTTAATAAAGTTAGGCTAAGGAACTTGAACATGCTGGTTGATATTTATTTATTTGTAGTGCTGTGGATGGACTCCAGGGCCTCAAGCATGCTAGGCAAGTGCTCTACCACTGAGATACATCCCTAACCCTTCTGGTTGATATTGAAACTGATGAAATGGAACTACCCAGAAAAGTAGAAGGATGCATCAGCTCAGGAGGATAGGATACCCACATGAAAGGGTGTGTTTCTTCAAGAGAGGATAACTCCCAGAATCATGAGCTCTCTGGCAGTTATAGAAGAAACAGTCTGCCGATAAACAGGGTGTGTTCTTCTTGGCCCCATAGGCATCCATAAACCCCTGGTGTGTTGGAATGAACAGACCCCAAACCTGTCTGGATTCAATCTGTCAAAATGTTTATATATCTACTGAGTGGCATTCCTTTTTAGTGCTACTGTAGATCTGTTTCATGTTGTTAAAATGTGATTTTCCAAAGTCAACTTTGTGATAAAAGATGTGACACCAAACTAGATTGGGTTTTTAATTATCAGTAGGAAAAGTAATCATTTCAGCACAAATTTATATAATTTGGGTGTTTTCTTCATTTCTAACTTCAGCAGTATAGCCATTAGTACTTAAGAATTACTGAGTATCTATTCAGGTTGTTTTACAAATAGGCATGCTAATTTCTGCTGAAATAGTTTAGAAAGCAGTTGTTTAGATGTCTCGAAAGTTCTCTTTTTTAAGGACTATCTCCTAATTGAAAAGGAAAGCACAAAAAGAAAAACTTAACAGAATCTTGCTATATTTTGGCTTATGCCGCTTCATCTTTCATCGTGTGTGTGTGTGTGTGTGTGTGTGTTTTCATGTGCACCTTTGTGGTTGTTTTGTTGTTTCTTTTTTTGTTCTTTTGAATTCCTACTTTGATGAAGTTGGAGAAAATTCTGAGGTTTGGTACAATCTAGGCAATTGGCAAATAAGATTTCTCTTTCTCAGAAGCTTTCATTGGTCTGAAATTTGAAACTAAAGTCCAGTCAAAGTACCCATGAATCAAGGTTGATGTAAGAGGTCAGTCAATTTCAAGATGTTCTATAACTTAAGAGGTCAATTGCATATTGATAATCACTTCCAGACTGCAGCCATCTGAAGAGACTGAGCAAAAAGACCCTCTGGTCTTAGCCTACTTGCTAGTGGACAAAAGCCAAGCTCGTTGCAAAGTCTTTTGTGTTATATGGTCAGCGTCAATGCTATAGAGGCATGCGAGTGAGGCGACATCTCTCAAATACATTGCTTACTTGTCACTGTCGTTACCTGTGATTGGTTAAACAACCCCACAGAAGAGGGAGCATTTGGCAAGGTCCCTCAGTCTCTTGATAACAACTCTAAAATCTAGTTGAAAACATGCTATGTGAAACTCACATAAAGGCAGAGAAGGGAAGCTGTAGACATCTATCTGCAACACCATTTTGATGAATCTGTCTAAACTGTCTAAACAGAATTAGAGTAGAAATAAAATAATCAAATGATAATTGTATTTAGCAAATAGAAAACATCCTGTTGAATGGGACCTTGGCATCTCCTGGAAATCAGTAAGCCAGTGTGCAGTCTTCTCCATACCCTTCTTATCTCCTCTACGCATGTATCCCCAATCCTATTAATCCAGGGAAGCCTGGATCAAAATCCAGAGTGCACTTGCTTTTTTTCATGATGACAGCAGTTACCAGGAACAGGTTAGGTGAACTCTTATATTTCACCAGAAACAGCTGCCCATTTCACATGAACTTTACACATGTCATAGTGCACTTATTGGTTTCGCAAGTCTGCCCTATTTGAAGTAAACATGATAAACCTTCCCTTCCACCCCCAGGCAGACTCCATTTCATTCCTTATTTGTTGGAAACAAGTATGTCTTGCTATCGTGGGAGATTTTTTCAAAGAGAAAATGTGGGGAATAATAATTTCATCTTCTACAAGTAGAACCCATTTGTCTAGTGGTCATTTTGAAGCTCATGCTGTTATTCTGGAAACCAAAGTGCTCATTTGTGTTCTTTAGTGAATACAAGCAGCTCTTCAGCACATAATCATTTGCTGAAAAATGTCTTCGATGGCTGGATTTGGAGCAACATTGCGGGAC